GTTTCAATTATTCTGCAAAAGTCTGTTCAAGTATTTTGTTTAAAATAATCCGAGGAACTTTTTTTCTCAGCAAAGGAATATGCCATAAAGGAGTTAAGAGGTTGTTTATTTTGGTTTACACGTCTATTGAAAACATGTATCACTACGCACGATCTATACGTAAGATTTCGACAAGTTGCTGATGTTAATGTTAATGCAATTATTCCTTAAAAGGGAGGCAAAAATGTGAAAATGATAAATAGAATTCATCACTCGTGTTTTTTAATATGGGAAATATCAACCTCGTCCCGTTAATCGGGGGGCGGTCGGGTAGCCTAGTGGTTAAAGCGTTCGCTCGTCGCGCCGAAAACCCGGGTTCGATTCCCGACATGGGTACAATGTGTGAAGCCCATTTCTGGTGTCCCCCGCCGTGATATTGCTGGAATATTGCTAAAAGCGGCGTTTAAATCATACTCACTCACTCACTCAGCCGTTAATCGGTATCGAGTTAAGAGGTTGTTTATTTGGGTTTACACGGATATGGAAAACATGTATCACTACGCCCGATCTATACGTAAGATTTCGACAAGTTGCTGATGTTAATGTTAATGCAATTATTCCTTAAAAGGGAGGCAAAGGCTCGGCAAATACCGATTAACTAAGACTCGGTTGATATTTCCCATATTAAAAAACAATTTTGCGAGGACACGAGGCCTTGTCAAGCGGGATCAGTAGACATATCTGTTCTTGTAGACCTCTGCGGCTTGAAACCTTCTCCACAAATTAAAATAGTTGGATTTGGCCGAAATATGTTTGACAAAGGGCAGTTACTCTGGCGGACAGACCGATGGATTGCCGCGAAAGGCAATTTAAAACAATTGTTGTTTTGCGTATATGTTGCTTCGCCACTGTATAAGAAACAGGTTTCAGTTGGAATTACATTGGCTGCTGTCACTGTCCGACTGACACATCACTTACCCTGTGACGTAAAAAATATTAATGCGCGCATTCCAGGAAAAAGCAATGTTTCGGTAATGTTTGTGAGAGAGGGAAAGCGATTTTGAAGCACAGAATTTAAGAATGACATTACATGATAAAGAGGTTATCACGCTTGTGTGTTTAGGGATGGTAAATATCCTGTATTAGGAATAAACACTATCTATATATTGAGACCCTAATGCAGGATATTTACCATCTCCAAACACACTCGCGTGATAACCTCTATTTCCATATAATGGGTAGGTTTCTCGGCAGGATGAAGCCAATGGATAAAAACGATATCCATTGGGGTCATATGCGGATAGTGTTTATAAACAAACATGGCGTCGCCCTTGTCATTCGGCAATCAAGTCAGAATTAACCATCGGGAATCTGTATAAACAAAAGGGATAATTGCTATCATTATCAAAAGAACAATATACTGAAAATCAGTGTCCAACAATTGCGACGTAGCTAAGGCATTTTATAAGTTTTGGCAACTTTGGAGATATAATTTCGAAAACAATTTTGCGAGGACACTAGGCCTAGCCAAGCGGGATCAGTAGACATATCTGTGCTTGTCGACCTCTGCGGCTTGAAACCTCACAAACTAAAATAGTTGGATTTGGCCGAAATATGTTTGAATTGTTACCTTGTTTCGTTTTGCCGCTGTGTGTACATCTGACTGCACTTAACGTTATGACAGGACAGGCCGACTGTCAACAACGTCTGAACGTGGCCGTGGCGTCTAATAGACTAGGGTTAGAATAGCTTCCCTTTGATAAAGGGCAGTTACTCTAGCGGACAGAACGGTGGATTGCCGCGAAAGGCAAGTAAAAACATTGTTGTTTTGCGTATATGTTGCTTCGCCACTGAAAAAGAAACTGTTGTATTCATTTCACGATAACAAATGCTCCCTAGAGCTGAAGCAAAGAACCTCTCCCCAGCGCGGGGCATCTTGGGATTGTGATATGGCGGTTGACCATCAGTGTTTATCACAATAAACTTTATCTGGACCATCCCGAGTCTGTTCGACTTATTAGGAAGCAAACACTACATTGGCGACGAACACTACAGAAACAGATTTCAGTTTGAACTATATTGGCTACTGTCACTGTCCGACTGACACATCACTTACCCAAGGCTCGCTAAATACAATGTTTATTCCTAATGCAGGATATTTACCATCCCCAAACACACTCGCGTGATAACCTCTATTTATTTTTATTTCATTATAAATTCTATCCATTTTAACAGTCGGGCAGTTAATGGAAGACCTCGGACTTTTGCAAATGATAATGCCCTGAAAAATAGCGTTACCCTTATATTAACCAATGATCCACCAACGTCATTAATTAATTATTTATTGGTACCGTCATCACAATACTCGTTGAATGACCCGTGCAGATCCGGGGTAGAATAGGTCTTCAGCAATCCATGCTTGCCGTAAAAGGCGACTTACGGGATTGGGTGGTCAGGCTTGCTGACTTGATTGATGATGCATGTCATCGTATCCCAATTGCGTAGATCGAGGCTCATGACGTCGATCACTGGATTGTCTGGTCTGGAAAATTGCTGAGTGTGGCAGTAAACAATTTGTTTACTTTTTAATTAAAAAATAGTTGAATGAATTGATTCCAACTTAATACGGTTCTCTAAGAAAGAGCAGGCATATTCAAAGAACACACTGTAACATCACAAAAAAAGGTTTGTTTCCATAAATTTATCTTTTCAGAAAAATCATACTACTTACACAGTAGTGGTTTGCCACGTAACGTAACCAAAGTGAATCAAAGACCTGTATGGTTTAATGAGCGATTTGCATAATGAATGATCATGGATTAGAAGGTGCAAAAACAGGTATGCCGTTTTCTTCGGTGTGTATTCTGGTGAACAAAGTGACACGTCTAAACACAGTTTTGTTAACTGTAATTGTTTAGGCTAGTTAAGTGTGCACACATCTTTGCCCAACATAAACACATGACGAGAGCACCATGACAGACGTATAACTTCCAAACAAGTTGTGGCCATTAAACCATACATTAATAACATGTTTAATCTATACCACTCAAAATAGGTTAAGGATCACCCCATTCCTTCAAATTACTAAAGTTAATCTGACATAGTACGACAGATTAACTATAGTAATATAAAAGAATCCAATCTATCTCATTAAAATCCGATCTTAGTTCTCGCTATCGCTAAACATTACGGGTCACGTCAGAACGACCTTTCATCCGACCAATTAAAGCGTGGCTTACCAGATCATGAAAGTGAGTCGGAATGTGTTTCCTAATCATGCAACCTCGAAAGCGTTAACACTGTGTATTCCGAACGACAGTTACGGCCCGTACGACTGATTCCGTCAAAATTATCGTCTATCTCTGCTTCCGAGGGATAAACATTTGAACGAAGGAGGCGTTGTACAGTACGTAGGAAGCACTGCCATACAATCTCAACCATATATTAGACATTCCGGACTGTTCGTTTGTTCAGTTTTCAAAAAAATTAATCGAGAACTGTGTCAACATATTTTTCAAGCTAGTCTGAAATGGAAGTCGCACGGTTGAAACGAGTGCCGTAAAGCTTGAGAAAGCTGCTTTCTAATTGGCATTTGTCGACTTCTTGTTTGTCATTTCAGTTGTCGGTCAAAGTTCGCGAAAGGTCGTTCTGACATGACCCGTAATGAGATGTCCTCAGATCTTTGTTTAGCGGCAGCGAGAACTTAGATCTGATTTTAATGAGATTGGAATCGAATGGTCCTTAGATTCATTTGAATTGACAATGAACAGACATGATCTATAAATGAATCATTTCAGCACTATTCGGGCTAATATACCGAACAAAAAGGGTTAGGGATCGTGAATATTTGGGGGGATATATTTTACGAAAGTGTGTGCTCAAACATAATTTTTCCCCCAAATATTTATGATCCCTAATTTTTTTAGGTTCATTACATCTATGCAGTATATGGTCAAATACAGTGAGATATAGCATCAGCAAATAATCAAATATGATCATCCTCACTCACCTATTCACCCATAAGACGAGCCTAGCACGGCACTTAGTCTATGTACACCTTATTCACACGTAAGCTTCAAGACAAAGACGTACAAACACAAATATGACTAGATATTCATATCATATCCTAAACTGTATCTGATGGTGATGTCCTCTGCACTATGTGCGCACTTCCGGGACTACTGGGCCAGCAATAAGCGGTATCTAATACATTGGCCAGCACTTGCGTAGTTGGTTCTTTGTTTAACGCCGCACTCAGCATTATTCCAGCATTATGACGGCGGTCTGTAAACAATCGAGTCTGGACCAGACAATCCAGTGATTGACATCATGAGCATCGATCCACGCAATTAGGATCGATGATATGCATCAACCAAGTCAGCGAGCCTGACCACCCGATCCCGTGAGTCGCCTTTTACAACAAGCATAGTCGCCTTTTACGGCAAGCATGGGTTGCTGAAGACCTATTCTACCCCGTATTTTCACGGGTCCGCCTTTTAAGACAAGTATGAGTTAGCGAAGACAAATTCTAACCCAGAAATTTTACAAAATTTCACTGGAAACCACGTGGCGCTGCACAAAGCTCGTACAACGTGGCGGACGATTCTGAAAACAATCAGTTCGGTGAGTGATGAGTACTTTATGTGACAGTCGTCAATATTCCAGCAACATGTCCGTGGGCAATAAACAACTCTTGTCTACACGTGACTGAGCTTGACCATCCGATTCCCCGTTGAGTCGGTTTTTACGACGCGCATTGCGTACTTCCCAGTGAGAAGGGCACACTGATATATGTATCCTGAACGAGACCAGTTAGGGATTATGACTCTTTTGGGGGATATTTGTTTGTTGTGAGGTGAGGTGAAATTGGGTTAAACGTTGCGTCCAAGATTATTGCACTTATATAGCGACGTGCATGCACGTGTGTGTGCGTGTGTGTGTGCGTGTGTGTGTGCGTGCGCGCGCTTGTACTAGTCCGGACTGATGCCGATTTATTGTGCTAGCCCACTGAGATACCATGCCGCAGTTTAACATCAATACCCCACTCAGACACAGTATACTGACTCCGAGCCGACCAGTCCCTGTTTTAGCCCCTTAATGCCGAGCGCCAGACAGGGGAACAACAAGTACCATCTTTTAATTGTTTGTAGTGAAGACAGAGCCCACAACGTCACAAAAATATCCCCAGGATATAATATATCAGTAATCATGTAATCAAGGACTGGTCACAAATACGCTTGCGTATCATAATCATGACAACATGGACAAGATCAACAAAATAGATGCACTATATTTTCAACTGCTAAGAAAACAAAGATAACAAGTAATGTTTTGCATATTATATGTCAGTAATATGTAATCATGGACTGGTCCAAAATACGCTTGCGTATCATATTTATAACAACATGGACAAGATAAACAAAATAGAAGCACTATATTTTCAACTGCTAAGAAAACGAAGATAACAAGTAACAAGCAAACAGAATGGATGCACGATATATACAACATCTAAAACAACTAACGACGCGACCATTGCATGAAACAACCACAGCTGTGACAGCTGGAAAAGAAGGGAGGTAAATACAGTTATGCAATGTACATTACAAATCTGCAGGTTATTTACACAAGTGTCTAACTAAAGTATTTGAGTACAGCTTTTGTAACAATTCTTCGACACACACGTGACACACATGACGAAGAGATAAAACAGATCATAACAGTGGTATTCAACATAAAAGAGTCGCCTTATCTCACAATAGTGTCACCCGTTACAACCTCCTTGGATCGGCGCAACGTCTTGTGTGTGCTGCGTCTCTTGGGTAAGTGTGTCACTTCCGGTGATGACTTGAGCGGGTACCCTGCTCTACCTGACCCCATCCTTCCCCCACTAGTACTTCCGGTTCTGCCCAAGCGGCGCATATCAGAACGGAGGCGCACAGGAAGTATAACAGTCGCAGCAGAGTTCAGGAGATTGCGCAGTTCACGACAGACTGTGTTTCCGGTTCTTCGAACTGACTTTTTCACATTCCGGACCCTTGAGCCGGTCTTTGATTTCTATTGGTAACGATAAATCAATCATTGATAACGCCTCGTAAATTTATAACGAAAGACTATCCTTTCCAAAATTCTAAATTCATTAGGCTATACTGAACTTTGGGCAAAGGCATTTAAACATATAAACGATGGGCAGTTAATATTGACTTTCGGCACAGCGACTGTCAGCCTGCGTAAGATTAGTTTTATTGCACTTTTAAACAGCAATATCCCAGCATCCGACGTTTAAAGGGAGTACTCCAATACGGGCCTTTGGAGTCAGGTGAAATGGGGTTTAACGTCGCGTCCAAGATTATTGCACTTATATACTCGACGTGCATGTACGTGTGTGTGTTTGTGTGGCTGCTTGTACTAGTCCGGACTGATGCCGATTTATAGTGCTAGCTCACTGAGATACCATGCCGCAGTTTAACATGAATACCCCACTCAGACACAGTATACTGACTCCGAGCCGACCAGTCCTTGTTTTAGCCCCTTAATGCCGAGCGCCAGACAGGGTAACAACAAGTACCATCTTTTAACGTCTTTAGGTATGACGCGGTCGGGGATCGAACCCCGGACCTTCCGCTCTCCGGGCGGACGCTCTACCAGTAGACCACGGAGGCGGTCGCCTTTGGAGTGATGAGCAAATATCTAAACCACTACCCTATCCAATTTCGGCAGACCTGAATCTAAATATATTTGAAAACAATCAGAGCACTCGTATAATATATATTACAATTTAAAATTTCCATTTAAATTTCGAGGATATTTTTATACATTTTAAGAACACGCTAACAACTGCTTTTGTGGCGGTGGTCCCAATGTCCTTAGCAGGTAAGCGCAAATGTTACTGAAACTTAACAGGTGTATAGTGGAAACTGTCAGTAACCGCCAATCTGAAATATAAACACAATCACACTATATACTCAGTGCTGACACAATAAATAAATAACTACCATAAAGTTTACAGCTGTACAGGTAATTCATTTCGACTGGTAATTCCGTCTTTTACAATCCGGATTGATTCTCACGAATTTAACAAACCTGTCTGACATGCTGCTTATCAAAGAACATATTTTTTTCATCCATGACCATTCGTGTTATTCCAGGACGAGCCTACATTCGTGACCAACTCGTGTTATCCCGGGACAAACCGAATAGCGATCTTCTTGCGGGTTACGGAAAAGGCGAGTGGTGACGAATGGCCTACATTCGTGACTAACTCGTGTTATTCCGTGATAAACCGAATAGCGATCGCCTTGGGGGTTACGGAAAGGGGCGAGTGGTGACGAATGGACAAGCCTAATGGCGATTTCCTGCAGGTTACGGAAAGGGACGAGTGGTGACGAATGTGCTATATCCATTCTTGACGAACTCGTGTCACTCCGGGACAAGCCGAATGGAGATTTCCTGCAGGTTACGGAAAGGGGCGGGTGGTCACGAATGTGCTGTATCCATTCTTGACCAACTCGAATGGCCATTTCTCATGAATCTGTCTGAGTAATAATCAGAAATGTATGGACGTTACACTTAAATAACACATACAAATGAACGAGGTCTTCAGCTTAAAAGGATGAAACAGGGATATTTCTTTATAACGGGTTGGTGTTTTTTTTATTTGAACTAATTCAAACGAATTGCCCACCTTTTTACTGGCCCTGCTTGTATTTGAGGTTGTAGGAGTTACGTCCCTTTCTTTGGGCGGCTTCCTGCCGAAGTTCAGTTTCCGTTTAACACGTGACATGACCCTCTCTGTTGGAAAAAAATGGTTTTGTCATTGTACATCAGTCGGTGTCAGTAAGTATATGTTGTATGGAAAACTGCAGACTGCATACATAACATAAATGTCCATTTTCATACCATACAATGGAGGCCTATACGTTTCTCCATGTATCGTGTTGCAACAATTTTACCGGTGTATGGTATCTGCTTTTGCTTACCTGTACAATACAGATACAATTTTCACACATTGACACAAAAGATGATTGAAAAGTAACAATAAGTCATGATTGTTTTTACACTGTGCTTAACATATATTGTATCTTACTACCCGGGCCAACACATTGGTCAGTGTGCATTGGAAGTGGATTTTCATTTGCCATATGGGGCGGTGGGGTAGCCTTGCGGTTAAAGCGTCCGCTCGTCCCCCTGCCGTGAAATATTTCTAAAAGTGGCGAAAAACCATACTCACTCATTTGCCACGAAAATTATTTCCCAGGCAGGTTTTAGCGAAAATCAGTAAAAAGACATCGAGGTGACATGATAATGAATGAGTGAGAGAATTTAATTTTAAGTAGCAGTCAGCAATATTCCAGCAATATCACGACATCCTGTACCTATCCGACCCTGGACCAGGCAAACCAATGAGCGAAGTCGTGAGCAACGCACAATTACATCGCCATTACACGCCATCAGCAGAGGGTCCAGAGCCCAAGATAACTTTTTGAGCAATTGAGTTTTCACTCTAGTGTTTCTATTTTAATTGGGTAATTTTAAGATTTAAAAAATAATGAAATAATGTTTTAGATGTACATTATAACTGTTCTAAATATAAAGGCCTGATTTTAAATTACTCGTAATTGGGTTTCGAAAATTAGCTCCTAAATGTTTACGCAAGCTGAAGAAGGTTCATTGGGTATTTACGCGTGCTGTTTTTATACATTTGAGTTTTTCATTTAATGCATGCGTTTCTGTAGGCAAGTTAATTGAACCTATTGAGTTTGTATTTTACGCAAATAAGCGGGTTATCTGAAGCTCGAGCCTGTCCACCCGATCCGTTTCAATCCACTCTACTCCACGGCTTGAGATGACACAATAGCACGGTGATATGATTCATACGGGAATATGCTACATGAGACATTATAATGTATTGAGTGATGAAATACTGTCTTAATCTGAAATACTGTCTTCCTTAATAACACTAGACACATGAGACAAATCAACAATAAAGTACACAATTAACAAAACGTTTGTCTTTTCTTGTGAAGTAATCAATTTCTCTCGTGTCTGCTCAGCTCATGAAAATATCAGGTCACGTAAAGAGATAACCGTTATTGGACAAGGAACCACAAACGTCATCTACAAACCACACACCCATCGACCCAGTGCTGTTGTTGCTGTCGGTGCGGGGAGGGGTGGTGTTGTAGTGTCCGTTCCTCCTCCCAGCCTCATAGCCCCGTGTGATGCGGCGCCCGGCGACCATCCTCACTTCAGCCACGACGCCGGTGCCAGGGAGCGGGGACAGATACACTGCAGAAGAAGACAGGGAACACGATCAGGACCTACTGTTTGATCAACATTTACCTTGAACACCAACAGCAGCAAGCAATGTGTCTGTAACAGTTGATATCGTCGTCGAACTGTCCAAGATAAAATGACGCAGGCTTGTGCTGGAGGAGCGATTGTGACGTCATATATCTATGGCGTCAGGAATGTATCACATATATCTAAATGTACCTAGCCATAAGAAATGAGTCTTATTATGTTTACGAATAACATCAGTATTGCTAATCCCAATATAGATTTCATTCGTAAATGCGAATACCGCGAGTATGTTAACAGATCACACAACAAAGAGTGACGTCATTTCTATGACGTCATCACAATCAGACGAACCTCCATGCCCGGGCTGCACGCGCGTGTAATGGTATCATGTAGAGATGTCAACCGGGATTTCACAAGGCACGAAAAGTAAGATTGGATGCAAATATTTATCATTGTTAAAATGATAAAAACAGTTCGTTTTTTATATGGCCGAAAAGCGAATACCTTGAGCCTTTTTCGCTTGAAAAAGTCTCCATATATTTCCTAAGACTCAAAGATTACATATGTCTCCATTTCATTAAGTGAGCTATGAAAAAGCGAGCGCTTGTTGGGAATTATAAAGCAAAACTACCATGTGTCATCCTTTGCCCTACTGTCCATATCTAACAATATCACCATGTTTGTTGGTTTGTTGTTTCAAGATGCAGAAACATGAACGAATCCATTGAAACCTTGAACAATCTAAATCTCTGAATACACGTTTACCTTTCACACCTGTAGGTAGAAAATACAACGTGGTGAGTGTGATATTGGGGAGGTTTTTGTTTGTTTGTTTTTTAACGCCGCACTCAACAATATTCCAGCTATATGACGGCGGTTTGTAAATAATCGAGCCTGGACCAGACAATAAAGTGATTGACATCATGAGCATCGATCCACGCAATTGGGATCGATGACATGCATCAACCAAGTCAGCGAGTCTGACCACCCGATTCCCTTAGTCGTCAGTTGCTGAATGTGTTATATTCTTCCTATTGTCTCGCAGTCGGGTAGCCTGGTGGTTAAAGCGTTCGCTCGTCACGCTGAAGACCCAGGTTCGATTCAATGTGAAGATCATTTCTGGTGTCCCCTGCCGTGATGTTGCTGGAATACTGCTGAAAGCGGTGTGAAACAGTGCAGTTACAGCAGTCGTGGTGAATACGTAACACTGCTCATTACGTTCAGATGATTGCGATAACAGGTGAGGTGAAATTGGGTTTAACGTCGCGTCCAAGATTATTGCACTTATATAGCGACGTGCATGCACGTGTATGTGTGTGTGTTGCTGCTTGTACTAGTCCGGACTGATGCCGATTTATAGTGCTAGCTCACTGAGATACCATGCCGCAGTTTAACATGAATACCCCACTCAGACACAGTATACTGACTCCGAGCCGACCAGTCCTTGTTTTAGCCCCTTAATGCCGAGCGCCAGACAGGGTAACAACAAGTACAATCTTTTAACGTCTTTTTGTATGACGCGGCCCGGGATCGAACCCTGGATCTTCCGCTCTCCGGGCGGACGCTCTACCACTAGACCACGGAGGCGGTCGATTGCGATAACAAGTGCATCAACACTTTGAACCTGTAAATCTTCGTCGTCGACCTGACCTATCTCATCTGAATAGGCCTTACATGGAATTTCCTGCTTTTGATGTCATTAAAGTTAGATCACATGTCAAGCAGTTGTAGTTAGGTTTGTGTTGATATTATTCAATTGAACTGCTATCACCCAATACTAAGTCATGGAATTCTAAGCCT